AAAAAAAAAAAAAAAAAAAAGGAATTAAAGATTTCATGAAAATAAATGATATTTTTTAAGTTTTATTACAGTAAAAGACCCCTTGCCATGAATTCCCCTCATAATAGTCCTGCTTGCTTCAAACACACATCCCATTGTCCTGCCACTTTCTGAGCAGTTCTAGAAGTCCACTTATATGAGTGACTTTAGAGGTGTGATCTAAAATACAGAGTGCTGCTGCCCAGTGCCATCCAGCAGAAAGGCAGCTCACAAAAGCATGACACTGTGTCTTCCCCAGCCTTATTCACCATGGCACCCTGTGACTTCTGGATCCTCCCCAAAGTCAAACTGACCATAGAAAGCAAATAATTTGTGCCATAAAGAATGAGAAATTAGATTCATTCATAGGAAAATGGATACATATTGAAGATATACTCCTAAGTGAAATAAATAAGTCACACATGTGTAAATACCGAATAGTTTCTCTGGTGTGAATAATCTGTAATAGTACATCAGATCCTAATGAGATAATGGACAATGTGAAACGGGAAGAAAAGGGCTAAAGGTGTAGTAGGGAAAGTGGGAAGGGTAGGGGAAAGGGAATAAGGGAAAAGAAAAAAAATAAGAAAATGAAAAAATGGAAAAAAAGTGTTTGTAAATGTGGAGGGGAGAAGGGGGTGAAGGGAGGGCAGGGACAAGGGGAAAAATGAGAACCAAGACCTGTCATGTAAAGGTACAAGATCCCAACAATGAATGTAACTGTACTGTATCCCTAAAATGTACCAATAAACTCAATAAAAGAAAAAAAAGAAAGCAAATAATTTGCATTCTTTTGGAACATGAGGCAGACAGGGCTGCTCAACTAAAGGCACTCTAGGAGAGAAGACTCCAGAGCTGCAGCAGGAGGTGGCAAAGCCCAGGGGATGAGTCATAGCAGGGGAGGACTAGGGGGATTAACGTCTTCTACTGTAATAACTTTTAATTTAAACATTCAGTATGGTTTTCGATCACATCATATCGATGGGGATGATAAAACCGGCCATTTCAACCTCTTTTTAGTGAACAATTCCCTGGCCGTGAAGATACTCACGCTGTTGTCCAGCTCCCGACTGTTTTAATCTCAGGGGATGGAAAGCCAGCCTTCAGTACGTACCCAGCCCTCCAGCCAGGCAGGCCCTCCCGATTCCCCACGCCCGCGGTGGGCAGGCCTGGGGCCGCCCGCTCCCTGCTCCCTGCCCCCTGAGCGCCTCAGGCCTCCTTCCTCC